CGCTAGTCTCTGCAGTATAATAGTGGTGCGGGAAAATTTTTTAAACTTTCCGCACACATCGCAAGCGGTTTGCTCAAACTTCAACATGGCGGCCAGAAAATCAAAAAATTTTGACTTTTATTAAAATTACCTTCAGCGGTTCGTCAAACGCCATACACAACACAAATGGCTTGCAGAAAGGGATATTTCGCTTGGTTTGTCAAGCCGCTTGTGTCGTGTATTTCGCTCTTAAGCGTAGTTCTCCGATACATTTTGTCAACGAAAAATTGAATCAGAAAATTTTCAGAAAAATATCCGAAAATGTACCCTTTTCACAACCATTTTCAGTACTTTTGTAGACCTAATCTGCGTTTTATCCACTTTTCTTCCCGTTTTCGGATAAATTTTCGGATTTTTTGCAGGCTGGGCTGTTCTCATAACAAGCTTGTTACTTATTCTTTGGAACTTTACAATCACACTGTGAAAGAGCGGATCAACACAATTGAGAACGAACTTATAAAAAAATTTAAAACTTGTGCATTTTTTAGTTTGCAACTTGACGAAAGTAACGACGTAGTGGGACTTGATGTTCTTCTCGTGTTAGTGAGGTACCCAATCGCAATGCAAATCGAGGAAGAACTTTTGATGAGCGAAGTATTTGAGAAATTTTTAAAGCTATCGACAAATTTCTACAGAAAAATGGTTTGAAATGAAGCAAGTGTGCGGATATTTGCAGTGGTTGGGAAAACGAAAGGAGCGTTGTCTAGGATGAAGCAAGAGAAGTCACTGTATGATCTGTTGGTATTCCCTGGCGACTAGGAAGATGCCGTTACTAGATTTAAAACCCGTATTGGATGACGCTACGAAGATAACAGAGGCCTGCGAAATTAAAATACATCTTTGGTTTTTTTCTAGCACGTCGAGTTTTTTTTTTTTATTGGTGACATGTACCTACATAAGAATATTTTAGAATTTCTAGCGATTTGCATGAAAACCTCACAAATAAACAAAAAACAAATCAGAAAAACGTATGTAACTTCGAAGTTAACGCTAAGAAAATTGATAACAGGCGGTTTCACCAGCAATTTAAATAGAAAATGATTTTTTATCTTCTTACAATTTCCAATATAAAATTCATAAAATTAAAATCATTCTTCACTTAAATTGCTTTCGTGAAATTGGCTGCAAAAGTTATTTGCTTAGCGTTAATGCGGATTACTAGCGTTAACTGAGAAGGTTTAGAAAAAACCATAACTATGCTCCATATTTAAAAGGTATTAAAATAGTCACCTAAGTGGTATATATAAACCTTTGGGCTTAAAAAATAATATAGTTTCCGTACAATGTTTGCAAAATTTAAAGCGTCTGGCGTAAGTTACCACCGACGGAGCGTGTCTGGTAATATTGAATATTGATTTTTAACAATATTCTGTAAAAAATACATACAAAATGAGCTATCAGGTACCTGTAAAAGGGCCCCCTACTCATAATCGTACCTTCTTAGCCCTAGTGTGCCCAACTGGGTACCCGGATACCCATCGACACATATTGTATCAAATAACATTTTTTCTTGGAACAGATTTTTAAAATCATAACGGATCCCAACGATCTGACTGATTTTGCATTTTAGATATTTATAGCTGAGCGCACTTGTGCACGGGGTATTTGTAACTTTGTTCACATAACGGTGGTTTGTAACAGGCAAAACGTATCGAGATAGATATAGACAAATGTATACATAAATGATCAGAATGAAAAGAGAAATCTATTAAGCCATGTCTGTATGTCCGTCCGTCCGTCCGTGTACACGATAACTCGAGCAAAAATTTAGATATCTCAACGAAATTTGGTATATAGGTTGCCCTTTATCTAAGGTAGGTTGTTATTGGCGAAATCGGACTGTAACCACGCCCCTTCTCATATAAGGGTATCTTCGAAAAATGCAAAAAACTGTGATATTTCAGTAAATATTGGATCCAAATTGTTCAAAGTCAGTACTTGAAGTAGAAATTTGGTGCAGAATAATATTATTAAATTTTTGGAAAAGGGGCGTGACCCCGCCCACTTATGATGAAATACTGTATCTTAGGTGTCGCTTCAGCAATCCTTACCAAACTCGGTGCGAGCCTTGCTTAGGACTCAGCTAAGAAATTTGTTGAAAATTTTTGAAATCGGGCAATAGCCACGCCCACATACCATATAACGGTAACTTAGAAAACACGAAAATGGGCTCAAAATCAAGTATTGCAATGACCACTGAGCAGAAAATTAGATTATTATAAATTTTTGGATTTTGGGCATAGGTCCGCCCACTTATGACCAAAATGTGTGGCTTAGTAACCGATTCATAAATTTCTCTGATATTCTGAGCTTGGCACGAAAAAGCAATTCGTTGTAAATTATTAAAATCGGACTAAAATTGCACCGGCTTCCCATATAACGGTAATTTGCGGATATACGAAAACTCCGATATTTCAATAGCTGAGGGCGTTCATTTACTCGAAGTTAGTAAATACTTACAACAATCTCTTAAAAATGAATAAGATTGTTATAGAATTTTAGGTAGTTTAAAGAAATTTGGAACGTAAGTTATTAACCATTTATCTCCTCATCAGCGAGTCGAAGGTCCTGGCAGACCCTTTTACGTGTAAAAATAATTCAAATTAGTGCAAATAAGATTCTCATTCGATTTCTATTTGTACGAATTGGTATTTGCAGAAATATTTGTATGCTTTATTTTGTGCATAAGCGAATACTATCGCTACGACACCATGGCCGAATAAACATGTTGAAAGCGCAAACGATGGCTGTCGTAAGTTGCGACAACGATTGTCGGTCGTTAAAATAGTTAGCGAATAGTACCACAGATGACTTCGAAACATTAGAGTGTGTCCTTTGAATCTGGCAATAATGGTTTTGTATTTACACTCATGCCGTGACATACATTTTTTTTTGTATTCACAGCAGCCATTTGGATTCGTAAATTATCCGATGCAAGTTTCAATCAGAAGTTTAAAAAATGTTCATACTCACTACTTTTGGACGCTTGCAGATAAAATGAAAATCACTTTCATATGCATTTGAGACAAATATTATTTATTTATATAATTTTTATAATAATTTTCTTACGAATGCTTAATTGTAAATATTTATATCATTTTATGTTATGTTACTTTATTTCTTTCTTTGTCAAGTTCAATAAACGCACTCAGGTCAGCACTAAAGTCAAACAGTAATCAGCATTTTTAATTGCATTATTCTCCTTTTATATGCATTTACATACACTATGAATGTAAGTATGAAGTATGTACATAAAATACATTGACGCTTATATATAATACATATCATATACGACTAAGCTGTTTTTCATATTTTTCCCATACTTACAATGTTGGTAGGCATTATTAAATAATTATTCACAAATATTTTTTTCTTATCTAGTCTAGTCATTGTTATGAAAAGTATCATTACGCAAATTATTATGCAAACAAAAACATTCACAAATTCATACATACATATGAACTATTTAGTATGTATTGATTTAATTTTCTTTACAGCTGTTCAACAAAAAAAGAAGCTACAAAAAGAAAAACATTTTCATTAGCGTTTAACTATTGCTTTTAATTGCCTAAGTATTTACATATTTTTTATTTCGCTTTTGTTAACATAACTTTTGTATACATTTATACATTCTTTATGTTTGTTTGTATGTATGTTTTTCTACATTATGAACATTAATTAATTAAGAGCAGCACAATTAAACACATATCAACATACATATTTCTAGCGAATTATGTAGGTGTGTTAATATGTGTATGTTTTGTTTCACTGAAGTAGGTAAGTACTTCCAGCAGATTTTAGTTTGCATTTATGAAATTAGTACAGTTAATTTTCTATTTGCTTAAATTTAAATATATTTCTTTCATAGTTTTATAATCTAATGGTATCACTAATGTCGTTCGGAAAGCTTTTAGCTTTTTCTATGTATGTATGTATATACAACAATGTTTACCAGTCACACACCTAAATTATATGTTGCTACACTCTCTGCTTTATTCTACATTTATTTATCTGGTTTTAATGACATTTAATTAATTTTTCTTATTATGCTTGTTTATTATATGGTTTTATCAGTTTTTCTAATTATTTGTAAAATTTTCAAATAAAATATTTGCTTAATTTTTTTTAAACTTAATACCGCTATGTAATACCAATAATTAATTTTTCAAATGAACTAGCACAGATAGGAGGGGTGGTCAAGTAATTTGGAAGCTGTGCTTGATTTTTTTACAACACAAGCAAAAATAATTTTTTGCATGAATTCTGACTTTTAATTTCAGTTAACTCCTACGAAATTGTAAGGCTTAATATGCAAACGTATGTAACTTTTACTACTCATCAAACAAAACTGAACGGACTCTAAATCACAGCTGGGTAGTGTCTCCCCGGCGGGCGACTGCGCGTCGTATTCGCGCACACATACACGCTTTGCTTGAGAAGGCAGCGAAAGCTTCATTCAACTGCACGACTCCTGCAGAAAAAAATATAAAAATGATATGTTAAAAAATAACACACTTGTAGTTGGCGTTTTTGCGGAATTTCTATAAAATATGTAACTTGTAGTTAGCTACAAAAAGCCAACTTGAAACTGGTTGCAAAGTAATGCAGGAGATTGTTTTCTTTAAACGCGTTTCTATTAAAATATCCTGAACTTCACCATCATTTTGAAGATATGTCGACGGAGTTCGAATAAGTTAACAAATATGAAATTTAATAAAAGAAATAAAGTAAATAAATAAAAAATAAATAAATAAAAATATTTTGTTTTTCCTATTGATATTTTATGTCCAAAAGTAGTTAGTTACAAGTTAGCTGCATCAAATGCAGGGGTCACCCCTCCCTTGACTAATTCGCGACCATCGCCATAGAAATATAGTTAGGCTTCGTCAAAGAAAATATACAGATAATAGTGACTTTTAGCTCCTTCCTAATCAACTTAAAGTTACCTTGTTTTAGGTACATTTCCTGCAGGGACTTGTTCGCATGCGCACAGTGACATCAATTGCACGAACACTACAAAAATGCTCTGCCGAGGTTGCCCTCCTCTGCTCTAAATTGACGGCTGGTTCAAAAGTGAACTATCTCAGAAAATGGCTTAAGAACGCCCTACTTCAGAATTCGGTTGAATAACGCTAATTTGGTTGAAATAGGGAGTTGTTCAGTCGAATTCTGGGGTAGGACAAATTCTGTAGTAGGGCGTTCTTGAAAAATTTTCCGAAATAGGGTGTTTTCGAACTGTCTGCCGAGATGGGTCGATCTTCCACTCAGCCGTCGTAACAGATTAAAAAAAATATAATTTCAAATAACTAAGTGGTGGCAAGTTTTTCTCGGGTACTAACGGGTACAACTTTTCAAGCAATAATTATAAAAGCAATAATATAACAACAAATTATATGAAAATATTCTCCTTTAAGATAATGTATTGAGAACAGGGACCAAAAAAAAAAAAACTAGTTCATTTGATTACAGGGAATATTTAAAAGAATGGAGTGAGAATTTTATGGCTTTAGCTGATAGGTATGTTCTTGCAGTGATCTGGATGCTCCGGCACAGAAGAATTGAAGGCAGGCGGCTAGCCAGGAACGGGTCAGCTCTGGATGTCTCAGAGGCAGAGGAAGTTTTTGATCAAAATAATCTATGATAACCAAAACTAACAAAAAAAAAATAATAGTTGTTAACATGTGGTGCGTTTATAATATTTGCACCGGGTGTATTTTATAGGCATTGAAGAAATTGTCTTAAAAACATACCCTGTCCATATTTTTTTTTTTTTTAATTATGTTTTGAATAATAGATATTTTTTTTGCATTTTGGCTCAGTAAGTCCATTATGAGGTAAACAATTTTTTTTTGTCTTCCGTTTCTATGACGAGTAAGTAATTATGGTAAACGCATTTCAAAACACATACAATCAAAGCCTCCTCAGCCAAATATTTACACAATGCTCTTTGGAATAGAATAACAGTTGGAGAAACTTTCTCTCTTGGATTTCAAAGGGTTAGGAGATCGAATATTACCGTCGGCAACATTGCAATTTATATTAATAGTTAGCTATTCACCTGCTTACATACAGCTATCTAATTTCACACATGCCTTTAAATATAATTTAAATACTATAGAAATAAAAATACAATTGCATACAATACAAACAGCTAAGCTACAAAAGCGATAAAGAGTGTTCGTACTACTGTGTGGCGGAGCACAAGCCTGATCGCCAATGCAGTTGTTGGTGCTTCAAGGAGTGATAGCAGAAGTTAGGGCCAATTAAGTTGGCGGGGGCGCTTATATCAAAGTCTGCATTGGTGGTAGTATTATGGCGTCGACTGCCTGGTGGATTAAAATGCTGGCTATTTTTAAGCCACATGTAACTTATTATGAAGCAAAATATACACAAAAATTGCAGCTCGAGTCGCAGGGACCTGTAATTTACGCAATCACTTTGTAGCAATTGCTGTTGTATGGTTGAAATCGGACGATGCCTATTGTTATTGCCGGCAACAATTTCGTGCGCCCCGCCAAGCCACATCTGCCACTGGAACGCATTGTTGTCCGTGGAGGTGTTGGTTTTATCATTGCTGGCTGCCGCTGCCACAGCGATAATATTGAAGCTTTTGTAGCACCAAATGCTGAAACGAAGTGTTGTTGGCTGTTGCAGTAACACCATCTCATTGCCCTTCTGCAACAGCATGTTGTCGGTTTTTAGCTGCATTGCTGTCCGTTGCATGCAAAAATTTTCAATTTTATTTTCAGTAATTTTTGCGCTCGGTTGGTCCTCCGCAGGACGATGCTTCGTATTACCCCGCAGAAGCGGGAATTTGTCCCTGCCATGGTAACTATGCTCCAACGCATATTGCAGCATCAACAATATTCGAAGCAGCAGTGCGAATGCCGTCGTTCGTGCATTTATTAACGTCACCGGTATTGCCGCTTCATTTTTTGTTGCCATAGTTCTCGTCATTACCAATGCAGCGAATTCAATTTGTCGTTCGTGCTTTTCACCCAAAGCCGCTCGCTGTAGCTGCTGTTGCTTCTTTTGTTGCTGCTGCTGTTGCTGTAGCACTCTCATGCGTGCAATGAGTTTCGGCAGCAGCGCGCT